ATAAAAATTAAATTCCGTTGGAAATATTTTACCTTTATATATATATATATATATATATATTGGTAGGAAAAAATAAAATAAAACATTTAAAAAAAAAATTCCAACGGAATTTAATTTTAAAAGAAGAAAAATTAAATTCTGTCGGAAATATTTTACCTATATATATATATTGGTTGGAAAAAAAATTTAAAAAAACATTTTTCAAATTTCTGAAAGAGTATAATTTTTTTAAATAAAAATTAAATTCCGTTCTGAAATCCGTCGAAAATTTTAAAAGAAAAAATGTTTTATTTTTAATTTTTTTCCAAGTTTTAAGGGATCCTTCTAAAATCAAAAACCCAAAAATGAATATCACATTTTGAAGAAGGATTGCATAAATGAATTTGAGCTGATATTAAAACATAAATCAAGTCTCAACGAGATTCAAAGTAAGCTAATTATAATTTCATCATTAGAAATAGAAATTTAGCTACTCGTATCCCTATTTATAAATGTAAAGCAAACTTATAATGATTGAAAAGGAGTTACCAAGAACCCTAATTAAGAATCCTCAAATTCGACTTCAATGCTCTCCCCAAAATCCTGGAAATCGGACTTGGTGTTTATTTGATGAAATTCAATTGACCCCCCTTTGTAACAACCTGATAAATGTGCAAAAACATACACTTTAGCACCTAATTATGTCTTTATTTCACTTCATTTTACACATTTCTCAATCCTATATTGAGTCTTTTAGTCTTATTTTATGGTTTTACATTTAGTGGAGCTAGGATGTAGGAATGGTATTGCTTTATGAACTTGGTGATAAAATGCTAACATAAGCATTGATGTAGCAAGTGTATACGTTACGTTGCTGCAACACTGGACACTGTATATTGGCACAACTGGCTCAATCTTGTTGAATAATTTGAAAAGTCAGGTTTTGAATAAAGGCATCTTCTAGTACTGATAGTAGACGGTTTGATAATTGTTCGTTCAACTTTAAATTCAAAAAATACATACATGTTCTCACTCGATATTTGTTTACCGGGTATGATTCTTGGTCTTTGTCATGTTCATCCAGTGAGAAAAATTACCCAGTAAATACTTACCGGGTAAGCATTTAGTAAACAGTCCCTTAGGCATGTTTTAAAAATAAAATATAACATTTAGCTTATTTCCAATATTAGCAGATAATCAAACCTCCTTATAATATATGATTTAAAACAAAGTTAGATTTGATTTTAGGCAGAATTGATGTATAATTTTGTTCGTAAAAGTGGGATGAAAAAGGAGGCATCAAAAGTCACCCGTACGGACACAACAAAATTATTATCAAGCGTTCACGTGAGAATGACACACAAACCCAAACCCAAACCCTAAACCTAACCTCATTGCTTATCTTTAATTTATTTTTTGTTATTAAATAAATTCTTTTTTCTAATTTAAATATTTTTTTCAATAATTTTTTTTATTAACCTGGATATTCAACTCGCTATGTGAGCCGACTAATCTCAAGGCAACCACCTGATTTGCAGATAGCCCGAAGTCACCGTATTTGAATCTTCATGGCTACAAAAAGATTTTTATTCCTACTTGGATTTGAATCTCGACCTATAAAAAATAACTTTTTGTACACATCAACGTCATATTTGTTTTTTGCTCTATATATTTTTAGCTAATGTCTAGAATTAATTGAACCGAAAGAAGATTTAAATAACTACCATAATTTTAATAAACAAGAAATTTAAATGATATACTTTTTTCAGGTATATTCGTTATTGAGACATTTTGTGATTAAAAAATAGAAATTAGAGTCTTTGTATCTTAACATAAATACACCTGTCGTCATGTATCATATATATTATTGAATAATACTGATATTTTTATTTTTATCTGATAGTCAAATAGTTTTAATGAGTTTTATGTAAAATTAAAATATAAAATAGTCTTAATGGGTTTTATGTAAAATTACATATAAAATAGTCTTAATGGATTTTATGTAAAATTAAATATGAAATAGTCTTAATGGGTTTTATGTAAAAATTAAAATATAAAATAATTTTAATGGGTTATATGTAAAAATTAAAATATAAATAGTCTTAATGGGTTTTATGTAAAATTAAAATATATAGTAAACATTGTTCTTGTTTGACCAGTCAACAAATACCATAGTAAACAATAATATAACTTCTCCTATTTTGAGTCACACCATGTCGTATTTAAAATTTCGAGGCATAAAATAACTATTACTCGTACAATACAACTCCAACAATATATAAATAAATTACATTATAATATATATATATATATATATATATATATTAATGAATCACACCATGTCGTATTTAAAATTTCGAGGCATAAAATAACTATTACTCGTACAATACAACTCCAACAATATATAAATATATTACATTATAATATATATATATATATATATATATATATACACACACACACAAATATAGTAATGATTTTGTTATGTTAAAAGAGAGGATGAAATAATAATTGTGTTTTTTTTGTCTAGGGTGAAATAATAATTTTTCTAGGTGGCCTAAAAAAACTCTAGTTTTATCTCATGAAATTAGGTTTTCTTACTGTCCTATTTTTCTCTCATGTCATTTTAAGGCTATGTTTGGTAAACTAATTAATAAGCTAACCGTTAATTATTAGCTTTAAATAAATTAATTGTTAGTTGATAGCTAATAAGCTAACTAATGAACAAATTATGCTTAACAAAAAATAGCTGATACGTTAAATGAAAATTGTAAAATAAATACAAATAATATCTTGAAAAATTAGTCAATTACAATATTTCATGATATAATTAAACCAAATCTCTAATAATTACAATACAATCAAGATAATAAAAGAATTATATATTNTATATATATAAAAGTTTATGTAACAAGTTTGGGACATATTTGTTTTTGGTTTTAATTACTTGGCAAAACTATATCCTAAAATATATAAAATTGAGAATAAAAAGATTGCATGTATGAATGAAATCACAATATCACCTGAAGTTTTATTGATTCTCTTATGCTCATGATAAAATTGTATGTTTTTTTTATCGTAGTATAATATTTTAATTTTAGCTTCTTTATTTGTTCATGTCCGTCTTTAAAGGTTTCATTGGATTCTCTCTCTCTCTCTCTCTCTCTCTCTGTATATATATGTATGTATATGTGTGTGTGTACGTATGCAAGGGAGTATGTATATATACATACATACAAAGTTGTCATCACGTATTTTTTTGACATTGAGAACCCTTTGTTGTCTTTGAATGAACTTTGACCGTTTGATCCAATGGCCTTAAAGAATGTAGTGGCAAACCTGTAATCAAATCGAACTTCGAGGACAATGATGTAGGTAGACACAAGGCTTAACATAATTGGCATCGCTCAATTACCTAAACATGTCTTAATATGCCAACCTTAACACACATTAACATGAAAATAATTAACTTTAACTGATATTAACAAATCAAAAATAATATATAAATATGATTTAACATATCTTAACATGAAAAATAATGAATACCATTAGCAACATATATATATATATATATATATACTTGGGATCTTGTAAGATCGAGGGTTTTTCGTGAGACCCGTAAAACCAATTTCCAACCCTTGAATTAGATCTACAATCTGAATATTCATAATCATAAAATTGACATGAGACTTCTCAATAATCACAAAATTGTCACCGTGCAACCTTAGACCATTAGCTTATAAAGTTGATCAATAAACATAAATTGGTCTCTCAAGTTTTACAAAAACCTTTAGTCTCACGTGAACCCAACCATATATATATATATATAAAAACAATATAGAAAATCTTCATATCTTTAACACGTATGGGTTGTAGCCTATAGCACATTATGGTCAAAGTCAAAGGAAACTTAAGTTAAGTTCCTTTATTAGAACATTGATTTGGGGACACCATCATGATAAAGAAACATATATTTTAGATACATAATTCAAAAAAGTATGGTTCTTTTATTAATCTAAATTGTTTAGATCTTCAAATTTAATTGTATTTTTGTTATTTATCTATCAAGTTACATAAATTATTACTATATATTCATAAAATATTTTATGGTCGATAATAAAATATTAAATTAAACAGAAAATCTGAACAACACACTAGCTAAGTCGGTTTATAAAACACCTTGGGATGCAAAAAACTTCGAAAGTAGGATTTAAAACTCGAGTTCCAAAATGTTGTCTACGTTCGGATCTTTTACAGTTTCATTTCTTTAAAAACACACACACACACACACACATATATATATATATATATATATTCTTCCTCAACTTTTCTTCTTCTAGTTTTTGGATTACTTAGTAATGAAGAAGATAATTAAAATGCCACGTGGGTTTCCTAGATTGGTAAAAATCTCTAAAAAAATCTATGAATTTTTATATTTTTCCTGGTTTAGGAGTTGATAAATTGACAGGGATTGTTTGTTTACCTCTTAATAATTCCATTAAAAAGCAACCTCTGAATCGTTAAGAAGTGAATCTTGTTTGGCGAAAAAAAAGTCTGCTTCTTAATGATTTTAAAACCCTCTGAATGAATTTGTATCTTGGATCTCCCTTAACCATTAAGAGCCATAATTTCATTGTATACAATAAACCAAACAATTATATTTTATTTTACATTATATCATGAGAGTATCTTAATCATTTTACACCAAACCATTCAGCAATTACCAAACACCACTAAAAACGTAATGCCCTCGAATTCATGGTTTTAATTTATAATAATTTAAGTAAAATATTGGGATAAATTCTTAAAAAATATACAAAACCATTGCTTGGAATTGGGAATCACGTGATGCCATTAAGACAAAACACCCCGACCAAGTAATTAATTAACCCATAAAAAACATCATATAGAGGAAGAGAGAGAGTAGTTGCATGAGTGAAAGTGTCTTGAAACTATTTAAAAAAAAAAGTAAAAAATACAAAAAAAAAAGATATAAATATTATTAATTATCTTTCATTTTCTTAACACATTGGTGATCTTTGAGGAATTCCCTTTCTTCTACTCATGCTTGTGGCCATGTCTTCTTCAGAATGAACCTTATTTGAAAAACTTTCACAACTATAAAGTCCACTCCTTTTCTTTCTAACGAACCCGGTGCACATCATGCTCATGTTCTCCGAACCCGACGAACCCGACCCTGAGCTCATCGGGTCGTCCACGTCCACGATGGTTGAGTGAGGCGTCTCGTTTGTCATCTCATCGTCTCCTGTGTCATTAGGGATGAAGAAATCTGGACCAAGTTGTAATGAGTTGCATACCCTTAGGAATGGTGTGAGATCTCTATAATGCTTCAGCACAAAATCCACCTAAAATCAACATCAAGAAGATTCATACCCATCTGAGTTGAAAGCTTGAATTTTGATCCAATGATTCAAATCACAGAAATATAAAGAAAGCAGGAATTGAATCGCGATCGATACCTTACACCCTAACGAGCAATGGATAAAGGGTTCTTGGAGACTTCTATCGCAAGAAGTGCAGTAGTTTCCCGATCCCTTAAACTGCCGATTCTGAGGTCTCTTCTTGATGAACACCACTTTGGCACTATTAATGGTATAAGCCTGATGATTACAGATATGTATTTTATCAGTCAAATCAGTAAGTAATCTAGTGTGAATTATGCCTATAAATATCACAGTTGATGCATACTTGAACATTTGAGCAGTCGATTAGGCGTTCTAGATCTTCCAGCCGTACTACGTCATGGTATACATAGCGTCGAACTTGAAGGAGTCTATGGAAGCGATGAATATGCACACAGTGAGGGCAGATGCTAGTGCAACAATCCAAACAACATATGTTCTTCTCGTTCTTCTTTGAGTTCTCGTGAATTGCGCATGCCGTGAAGAATTTTTGCGCGTAGAGAGCTTCTAACCAAGCTGGTTTTCGAATTCCCTATATGCACATATATATACCATACAAGTATTATAGAAATTGTTTATAAAGATGAACAAGAAATATATAAGATTGTAAGACAATTGGGGATACATAATTTTGAAGAATTGAAGAAGATGAAGATGGTGTAGACATACCATGATCACATAAACTGTGTTGTAGTTGTAGGAAGTAGGAAGAGTAGTGGTGCAAGGGGAGGGAGGGAGCTGAGTGAGAGATAGGGGGATGAGAGTATTTATGGAGAATCACAAGAGAAGAAAGGGTATATATTTATTCCTTTGCCATATATATACACATTATCAACTTTGGAGAATTGAATTTTTAGTATTCAGTTTTTTTAGTCCTTTTTCTTTCCAAAATGATATATCATCACATATAATATATATATATATATATATATAGGGTTGGGTTCACATGAGACCAATGGTTTTTCGTGAGACCGGTAAGACCGATTTATGTTCATTGATCAACTTGATAAGCTAATGATCTAATGGTCTAAAATTCACGGTGGCAATTTTGTAATTATTAAGAAGTCTCGTGGCGTTTATGAATGTTCAAATCTAACGATTGTAGATCTAATCCAAAGGTTGAGAATTGGTCTTACGGGTCTCACGAAAAACCATTGGTCTGACATGATCCCCAGTCTATATATATATATATATATATATATATATATATATATAGATTTGGGATCATATGAGATCAAAGTTTTTTCGTGAGACCCGTAAGACCAATTCTCAACTCTTGGATTAGACCTACAATCTGAACATTCGTAATCACAAAATTGTCACGAGACTTCTCAATAATCACAAAATTGCTACCGTGCAACTTTAGACCATTATAAATGATTAGCTTATAAAATTGATCAATGAACATAAATTGATCTTACGGGTCTCACCAAAAACCTTGGTCTCACGTGAACCTAACCCTATATATATATATATATATATATATGTGAGATAATTTATTGAAGTTTCGACTAAAATTTCTTTAGTTAATTTTTTTACAGAATTCATTTGATACTTAAAAATCAAATTCTCTTATAACATAATTAATAAAATATTCTTCTCCTAAAAAAAGGAGTTCATATAATTAATAACTTTTTTAACATAATAATATTTAATTCTTAAGTTCGTCCAACAAACTATTTTTACCATGAAAAGTGATCATTATATTTTCACCGCCCATTGAGGAATTAAAATGTGTTTTAATTATTCTGAGTTATAACTTAATGCTTAATTATTTTCTAAATATTAATCATTTTTACCATTTCTTTTAATGACTAACAAGAAGAAAATGTAATTTTTGATTGAATTTACCCAACGTTTATTTGCAGGACATCCAAAAAAATGTGTTTATTTTGAATTTGAATTTGAATTTGAGTTTAAATCGTATGGTATTTGAAGGTATATTCAAATTATTCTAATAGTATTATATGTTGGTTGTGTGTATGAATAAGAAACAGATAATAAATCTTAAACAACCATTTTATGGCCACTTAGTTAGATTTAATGTTATATATAATTATGTGATTTTCGAGACCGTTTATCACCCCGAGGGAGGTTAAAATTGTAATTACCTTGGTGTTTAATACATAAATGTTACATAGATTCAAGTTCGATATCACTAAGATGAACTTCTTTTGGAATGGATCATACCCATTTTTCAAAATGAAAGAATTTTTACTTGATTCAGATATATGTGTCGATGAACTCAAATTTATTAATTTAAAACATCAAAAATGTTGATGCCATGAAAAGAAAATAAAGAAAAGCCACAAGGGTGGTGCATGATTGGTTTGAGCTTGGATCCAAAGATCAAAAGTACCAGGAAGTCCTAGGTTCAAATCCAATGAGAAATAAAAATCCCCTTGTGGTCATGGAGGTTCAAATGCGGTGAGTTCGGATTATCTGCAAAACAAATGATCATCCTGGGATTAATCGGCTTGCATAGCGGATTGAATATCTAGATTAATAAAAAAAATAGGAGAGTGGAAATTTACTGAGGACAAAAGTAACAACAATTCCTTGTGGCTTGGTATAGGATTCGGAGAGAGATTGTGGAGTAGGCTTCTGATATTTGTAATTTTAAATTTTTATTATTTTTATTTTATAAATTATATATTTATAAATTTGGAACACATTTTAAGAATACCTAATATACCAATTTCTTTCATTGGAAAACACATTTTCTCTATATATATTATTTAACATATCAATTGTGTATGTATATATGTAGAAGTAATATATATAAAAAAAAAGTGAGAGTTGAATTTTATGATTTTTTTTACTTATCTTAGGGGCCGTTTACTTAAATGCTTACCCAGTAAGCTCTTAGCATTACGAGTTAACATTGTAATTTATTTTACCATGTAAAATTGTAATACATCAAAATGATATCGTATGCAACAATTTATCCGGTAAGCGCTTACCGGAGTAAGAGTCATCACATTCACTTACCGAGTAAGACTCTTCATCTTTATCATTGCTCTTACCGGATAAGACTTTTGACTTTTGACATGTTCATCTGGTAAAAAAAATTACCCAGTAAACACTCAATAGATAATCGTTTAGTAAACCTCCAATTTCAATTTTCGTAATGAATTAAAATTGCCACACACATTAAATTACAACAATATTTACATTACGTTAAGTGTAATATAATAGGTCATGTAAATTCTAGCTCGGTATATATAGTTCTACTAAATTTGACTAGATGTCGGTTTTGTGCAACAGTTATATATTTCTTTACACATAAACACGAGCAGAAACAAACAAACGAATGAATTAACTTCCAAGCAATCAAAGGTATAAATTACACACCTATCCGTGCAAACATCGAGTTCCAAACATTAAATTTGAACTCAAAAAAACAAAAAACAATATCAGTATATATAAAGAGAGCGAGGGAGGGAGTTTGGTCGAGAACACATTTCCATTATCGACTAGGAAACCACCGAGAACGTATCATGTGTCATATTCATCATTAATAACATCCATGAATTTTTACAACTGATAAATGTCACTGACACACACCGAACACTGTAAGTAGTTCACGACCCATAATAGAAATCTTATCAACAAACCCGTCTTTCTCTCTTTATATAATTTTAAAATTTCATGTTTTTACCTTCAGAAAAATGAAACCTTTCTTTAAATGGCAAAAAATAAACCCACTTGATAGAAGAAAAGATTAAACATGCAACAATATATAATCTCTATCACCTTGGCTGAAGAGCTCTCCAAACCCTAGCTAGACCAGCCAAACTTCTTGAAACTGCTGCCATCTCCCCCCCTCTCTCTCTCTCTCTATACATATATGTATATATATGTGTATATATATATATATATATATATATATTGGTGAAAATGCTAGCTGTATTGGCTTAGCTAGCTACTGCATGGTCTTGGAGATGATGAAGGAAAGAGAACCCTACATCTACAACCATTGGCCAAACCATTCAAAATTACACAATTCTGGTCGTTGGCTGGTCTCCATGGAATCCATTGGTTTATTTTATGTATGTTTCTTTTATTGGATCGAATGGGATTGGTTCATCATTATGTCTTCATGCAATAAGAATCGGTATTTGGATTTACATAATCATTTAACCTGGATATCCAACTCGCTATCCGAGTCGAAGAATCCTAGGACGATCACCTGTTTTGTAGATAGCCCGGAGTCACCGTATTTAAACCTCCGTGACCACAAGAGGATTTTTATTCCTCCTAGTGTGTAAATGTGGTTTCAATAAAAGGCTGCATTATACATGGATGCTTCAATTTCATTGTCTTTGGAAGAATTTTGTTTTTAAATTGGACTTAATATATTTAAAATAGCTTAAAAACTATTAATTTTAATAATAACATTTACATAACGTTAAGAAAATATCATTAATACATTATGAGTTATAATTTATGAAGAATTTATTGCTAAAAGCATATCGAACATAGATGAAGCTAGTGCAGTAAACGAACTGAACGTTTAGGGAATCGTTTGTGAATTTTTCGGTGGGAAGTTCATTTATTTTATAAATGAACGGATATGAGCACATATTTTTATTTGTTTAGTTAAATGGAGAACGTAAATAATAGTCTCATTCGTTTGTTTACGTTGGTTTATATATACAAAATGTTTAACTTCTTGTGTGATTCTTCCTCGTGACATTAGATGCATGTCCAAACGAGAAGTTAAACATTTTGCGAGAAAGCGAGAAGTTTCAATATCATATATGATTACATGTATGATACACAAGTTTAATCTTATATGATTAAATACGTGTTGCATTGACAATACATAGACCTTAATAATGTATGATTAAATATACCCAAAAAGTGTAATCATATATGATATTGAAAATTATCTTCTCGTAAAATGTTTAATTTCATGCAAGACCCTTCCTCTATGACATTATTATGTAAAATCATTGATTAAATTAAATTTTTAGAATTCCTTTTATACGCCTCTAAGTTTACGCGGTTTTTATTTGTTACACTACAAGAAAAGTGAGTTTCAGCGACGTACCTTTAGCAACGAAAGTTTATCCACATGTTAGAATGACGACATGTCGTCTCTATAAATAGTTTGTGATGATAAATTGACTTTTAGCGACGACAAAAGTTGTTGCTAAAACCCTAGTTTCTAGTGGTGTATGTTATTTTTAAGGAACAAAATGACAAGTAGTTGTGGCTTTTTTTTGTTCATTTGTGTTATTTCGTTTATATTCATTTATGTTTGTTTGTTTACGTTCTTTTAACATCTTAACGAGCAAATGAAAACAAACATGAACAAAAGGGGACGTTCCAATCTTTTTGAAAACCCTGTTATACCTAAAACTTTCGATTACACTGCAAAATAAGATAACAAAGATACATATATACAAATTACATAGGCGAGATAAAGCATACTACTTTTGTTTTCTTAGAAATTAAAGTGGCACCGAAGATGGGCTATAGTTTTTATGTTAATTGATGAATGATCCTAAAGAGTGTAAAATTACGCCTCAAAATTCTAAAACTCTGTTCAGAATCACACATTTAACATGGTAAAGAACAACCATATGAATAAACACATTTACTTTACAAACGAATAAACATGAACACAAAAAAATTTTTTCATTTACCGTTCGTGTTTATTCATCTACTCAATGGAGTTAAATGAACGAACCAATGCAAGTTTTCCTTCGTATTCT